AGCATAATCAGAACTATAAAAAGAATACATGAGACATATGCGTATATATGATTTCAGTACAAGGAGATAGTTATCAGATGAGAGAATCACCTTTACAGGATACCCCAATTTGTTCTATATAACGAGATCTTAGAGCCCCAGCCTTCAGTATAAATATGGCAGTTCTGTGCACAATATATGCATTGGTGCCCTGGAGAAAATAAGATAGTCTAAAATTCGGGTCCCAGTGCTCTATTCTTTCCAGTAATGGGGATAAATATTTTAGCCTGATAGATGCATATAATTGACAATTAAACAAGATATGAGAAATATTTTCGATGTCAGGTGAACCGCATATCCAGGTTCTTTCATGAAATGGAATTTTATAGAAGCGTCCATATTTGGCCATTGAGTCCAACAGTTCAGATCTTGTTCTGGTAAAAACCCTTCTTAAAAATTGAGGCAGACTCATAAATAGGTGTTTTTCGGGTTGAAAATTTATTTTGTTAGTAGCCAACCAGCTTAAAGATCTATTTTTGGGTATAAGTTCCAAGTCAGTTTGGGCACTTATCTCCATAACTCTCTGCTTGAAAATTTCCCTTGCTTGGGGGACCCTAAGTAATAGGTGCTGAACAGAAAGCCCATAATGTGGAAAAGAGACATTCGACAAAACCAATTTGAAAGAATCATAGGAACATTTAACAATTAGGTGAGAAGACAGAGTATCGTTGAAGATCAGTTCCTGGGCTTGCCAGCCCAGCTCTGCCTTGACTAGAATTGCCAGGCCACCAGAGGCCCTCCCTTTGGTCTTAAATTGAGTCGCAAGGGTAAACCATGACCTGAAGCCTGTCAGATGAATCTGATCTTCCTCTGGGGACAGCCAAGTCTCCTGAAGAGCTATAAGGTCAAAACCTATCAGAAAACCTGTCAGGTCCCCATCCAAGACTCTTACTTTCCATCCAGCAATATTCCATGGCAATAGATGGAATTGGTCTGTGTGCTTAACATTTTCAGGAATAGGGAAAGAGGTCATGTGCACTTGGGGAGAGGCACAAGTGTTTTCCAGCCATTCCACATTGGTAATGTTGTCTAAAATTCCATCTGGATCAAAAAAGACACACTGATTCATTATGCGCCTGCCTTCTCTTTTACCGGGTTGCTGGTTGAACTCCAAGTGACGTTGTCAGTCAGCAGCCTATGGCAAAAATACATTTGTAGGCTGACCTGTTGGAGTAGTAGCAGAAACCAGAATGGGGTCGTCGGACAGGGGTTGACCTCCTTAGGACTCAGATCAGCTCCTGCACTGGAGCTTTCTTCTCATTGTACCATGGTGATGAAGCAGCCATTCAGGTCCTCTTGCCTGTTCGCCTCTGTTATAATGCTATCGCTTGCTGGGTCTGAATGCAGAGAAATTTTATCAGGGGTCTCAAAAAGGGTGTTTTTTTCTATCTGCATTCGGGGTAATAAGATCTATTAAGAGTTTCGCTGTCTTACGTATGGTTTCTAGCAGATCTTTCAAGTCCTATTAATAATGCCCACTTGCTCAGAGTCAGGCAAAGTGCAGAAGGAGTTAATCGAGCTTGACTCCAAAAGCTCTACCGAACGCTGATGAGTGGGAGGCATGGAGTGGGGTTTTTTTTACTGCTGCTTCTCAAGGACAGGGAGGGGGCTAGCATCCTTAGAAATAACAGCTTTATAGTTGCTGCAATTAGGTTTGGAAGGAATGACACTCTTTTTACTAGAACAGGCTACCAGAGCTCTGACTCCCTCCTCGTTGAACACTCGAATAGGATAGATCTCAAACCTACTCAAGAAAGGCTTCCTTTTAAACATACTTGCTATGATGGGCTAATTAAAAGTCAGCAAAATATATTTAAAATCCCTCCCAGAAGGAAGCCACTCAACTCTCGGTAGATCCACCAGCTGCCTTTCGCAGTGGAGAGGTTGGCTGAGGGAAGCAGCAGCTGTGTTTCTGGATCTCCACTTTCCCTTATTAACTCTTATTTGAAATTTGTAAAGTGATCTGATTCCGCTGTAAGTAACAATTATGATGTATGTGCCTTTTATCCAGAACTTCTTGGAAAGGAGAAACTTGCTTGGCAAGCGCCTCTGAATGTTGGTCATGTGGCGAGTCTACTGCACTTTTAGTCAAATCCAAATTAGTGTCCATCTTTCAGTCAACAGATCGTGCAAGTGACTCTTTTATCGAGTCCACTTTGTTGCTGACAATAGCGAAGAGGTCAAATATTGAAAGCACTGTTTGTGCCATCAGAAGGTGTTGCCTAGATATAACATCGGTGAAGTTTTTATTTTGTAATTCCTCTCCCCTGTGTTGCATCAGTCCCTCAGCAGCAGAGCAAATAGCTGCAGATCGAAGAGGGGAAGACTTCCCAGGGATAGAAGCAGAGATGGCCAAAAGTTGTGAACTTTCTACCTCTGCTTGTAAGTCCCATTCCAGGGGGTCAAATCTATTAAGAAGGCTGGGGATGGGGATAGGACTTTGTTCCTTATAGCTGTTGGCTGATAGTTTTTCAGGAAGTCATCCATTTTGAGTTGATTGATAGAGTGATGTGTTGTGTTTGAAGCAGAATGAGAGCGCTGCCTTTTAGATTCCTTACGTGAAGGAAGTTCTTCTGTCTTTAATTGCTTGGCTGACTTTAGAGTAGAAAAAGATCCCGGGCTGCTGCCATATCTTTTCTTTCTCTTTCCCATGTTGTTTTCCTTAGCTGATTTTCAAAGTAACGAATAACACTCTCTTCGTCTTCATCGGCAGGCGCCCAGAGCTATTTGGTTCCAGAATCCAACATCTAAAATCCTAATCTTATCTAATCCTTATTCTAAAATTCTAAGTGTCTTAAAACTAAATAAAATAAAAGCCTAATCCACCAGAGAGAGGAGCTAAAAAACTACTAAAAAACTAGCTAGGCTATTTATAAAATGAATAGTACATATAAAATATCTTAGGGTTAGGGTTAGGGTTAGGGCTAGGGCTAGGGTTAGGGCTAGGGCTAGGGCTAGGGCTAGGGTTAGAGTTAGAAAAGCTGCTGCTCTGTCGCCATCTTAGCTCCTCCTGAATCTGGATTGTAGAGTGACCCTGTTTGGATTAGTGTCCAATTTCCTAAACTTAACTCCTGTCTGGCTTCATTAAGTCATAAAGTTGGGGTGCGGGAAAATTCTCCTCTTCTTTGAAAAAGAAAGCCAAAATCTCTGCAAAGATTATTTTTAGAGAACATTTCTTAGATTGTTTTCCTTTCATGCTTAGTCCCTAGAGTAGAAAAAGAGTGGATTACTCTCATTTTTCCTATGGCTGTTCCTCCCAACCAGAACAATACGCAAATATACCAGAATGATGTTGTGTTCTAGAACAATGCAAAGAGATGGCCAGGCGATTGGATCTTACTGCTTATAGTCATTGTAAGAACCACAACCCTTCCCCTAATTAAATAGGGAAATTTGTATTCTCATTGCTAAAGCCAAGTTTCTTCTCCTGTTGAAGAAGGTTTGTGAAATGTTCCTCCACCATGCCCACCCCTCTTGGAGAGATTATATGACTTGTCACCTGCACAGAATTAATCCTGATGCAATGATACTCTTATCCTTTCCTTTTCACTGTTTTGCCTTTTTTAAAAATGGCGGTGTAATTGGAGAAATAAAAAACCATGTTCCCATGAACGGATAATCCCTTCTGCTGAAAGCCATCTATTGCGCAAATAAAACTCTTCTGCATTTTTGAAAGCAGAGGAGGTGGCATTTCCAACCACCGGTGGAAGCTTCTGATAGACAAATTAAACAGAGCTTGCCCTGTCTGATCATTTGCAGGTAAGAACAACCACATTATTTTATTTGCCATTTTTATCATTCAATTTCTTCCCCCCTTTGCAACGTATTCCACAATTTGTTATCTGTCCTCGCAAGAGTACTGTGAAGAAACTTGCAGAATTTTGGCTTTCCAGGGTCTCTTTGTGGCCATCTTAGATGTGAATTTATGTGTGATTTATTTCTTTGAAATAATTCTATGGAAGAGGGATAGATTTGAAGAGAGGGGAAGGAACCTAGAATAAGCAATACATTGCCCAATGTTACTACCATGGTGGTAGCGTGTGCCTTATCTCAGCTAGTTTATCTCAATGGGTTTGGGCCAATAGTTTATGAATTGCATTGGCTTTGCCCCTTAAATGAAGTTATTTTCTGGACCGTGCCTGCTGATAAACATCCCTGACAGTTTTAGATGGAGAAGAATCAACACGCAACTCCCCATCCAGCTTAGATTTTCTTTCACATGCTATATGTGATGATGACTTCATTTCCATTCACTTCCTTCCCTGAAGAGCCAGCTGCAAGCTACCGTGTGGTCTTCACCATCGCCGCCGTCCCACCATGAAAATATTATTAATCAAACGTGAGTTGCTGAAGCCCATCTTGAGCAGCAAACCACTTAGTGGATCATTCCTTCAAGCCGGGAGGACATTTACTTCTCTCAATCTTTCCGAGTATGAAGCCATTAATCAGGGTGAAAAGGAGGTGCCAAAGTACTTTAATTTTGCAAACGACGTGCTGGATAAATGGTCCAAAATTGAAAAGGTAAGTTTTCTTCCAAGGAATATAGGGGCAATTTCTTGACCGATGTGCACGTCCCCATATCCCATTTTTTCTTCAAATAATTAAAGGGGAGTGAGACATCGTACCAGATTGAGACCCAATCTTTTTGCCCACCTCAGAATTTAAGCAAATCATGTAGCCTTTCAAAAAATATTAAGAGAGGGGCACCACAGAAGAAAATATCATTCAGGACTCCATTCCCTTGTACAGTTCAAGAACAGAAACTTCTAACTTGGGCAAATGCACATTTGGAAATTATAATTATAATTCGCATCTCAGCACTTACCTGGTAAACTGCATGCCGGCTTTCTCTTCTGTCCAGATGAGACTTCTTCTTGGGACCTTTTATCTTAATTTTTTGAATTAACTTTATTGGGTTTTTTAAAGTAAGAAAAGCAAAATGTAAATAAGAAAGAGATTGACAAGGATGATAAACTAAATTCAAAAATGTCAAAAGTAACATTGGTATAGTTCTGTGCATTCAAATTTCTTGCATCAGTTTAGAACTTTAAATCATGATTAAAATGAAATTGGTACTGCATACGATGATTAACCGCAAAATCCAGTGTGATATGAATCATAAATCAAAATAAGAGATTACAATCATTTCTAAGAATTCTACCCCTGCTTAGCAAATAAGACAAAAACATAGATATTAAAGCCTATGTTAAAACAAGCCCAAACATTATCATTCATATATGTATGTATGTATATATATATATGTATGTATGTATGTATGTATGTATATGTGTGTGTGTATATATGTATGTATGTATGTATGTGTGTGTGTGTGTGTGTGTGTGTATATATATATATATATACACATATACATACATAAAATCTCAAACAGAGCGCACATAATTTCCTCACCATTATTATGCAAGGCTTTAATTTAGAGATTTAATTGGAAGCTGATTCAACTTCAAATGACTCTCCAAAGTGGATAAGAAAGCTTAACTTAACTATTAAATCATCCTCAAATCATGTCAGTGTCTCTAAAAGGAGTCGTGATGCGCACCAAAGCCTTTTTTCCAATTCGATTTGAAAAGTCACTTCAACCTGGCTTATGTCTCGAGTCAAAGCGTTGAATGGAATCTGCTTGATTCTCCAGATAGATTCAGATGAGTGATCTGAATCGAATCAACAGTTCAAAGTGGAGTGGCATTGACCTGCTCACCTCCAGCATCCCTACCTCCGGGGCGGCTGTTATTGTCATTCTATAGCTTTCGTTTCCTACTGCTTCATGATACATGTCGTTTTTAAATACGCAAGATTCAAGCACAAAGAAACCCTGAACGTTTGTCATTGTAGGCTGCAGCGGTCCATCTGTTAAAAAATCCTCATTTTGTAAATTGGCATTACCTTTGGGGACGATTTTAAAGAAACATGGGTAGCATACACGTAATGGAGGAGAAGAAAATAAAAACTGGACCCTGAAAACCCACTCCCTGTTCTCTAGAGATTTTTATGTTTCTAAAATATCTTTCCCCAATCTTCCCCAACCTTCCAGATGTGTGAACTTCAACTTCCAGAGCTCCCAAGCCAACGATGATCCACATGTCTGGAGGACAAAGCTGTTCTGAGATTTTACTAGGCCCAGCCTGCCTTTCTCTAGTTTCCTTTCTAACCATAAGGACGAGAGACGTAACTTTTTGCTGACCATCCCAACTGAGAAGCCTTCTTCTTCTATTGGCTGGTAGAGCTTCTTTAATATGGCGGAGGAAACAATAAGCATTGTCTCTAACTATTGTTTTGCAGGATGGAGGGAGACCATTTCACCCAGCTCTCTGGTGGATAGATGGCAAAGGAGGAGAAGTGAAATGGAATTTTGAAAAATTGGGCTTCGTCTCCAGGAAGGCAGCCAACGTACTCATGGGCCCTTGTGGCCTGCAGAGAGGAGACCGGGTGATTCTCATTCTGCCTCGGGTCCCCGAGTGGTGGATGTTGATTGTGGCATGCATTAGGGCAGGTAAAAAACACCTAGACATAGGAAGATCTGTTCAGGCCTCCCTGGCAATGACTTCCACCCTTGAAACAACAGACGGTTTAAGGGATAGACCTTCCACATCCAGAGGAGATGTCTCTCTTAATACCAGTTGCTGTAGGCAACAAAGAAAGGAGCACTATGGCCTTTAGCTTCTGGTCTTTGCTAGAGAACTGATGGGCCACTACAGCGGCAAAATAGAACCACCAGATTTAGAAGGTGTGAATCCTGAATACCAGTTGATAGGCAATGGGCCTAAGAAGAAATGCAATGGTATGGCTAGCTAATTTTAGGCTGGTCTTACAGGTTTCGTAAAGGGTAGGCTTCTTTACATGGACAGGTCTATGCCAGTATTATCAAGTATGTAGCACTGCTGTATTGGGGGAGGGGGGCATCTTAGAAGGATCTTGGACTGAGATGGATGGAATTCTACCTTCATTTGTGTCACTGCCTCCAATGTCCTGCCTCCAGGCTTCCCAAAAGTCAAAATGATGGATTCAGGAACGATGACCCAGAAACTCATCTTCCATTCTTGCTCCTTTTGGATGGAACAATGTAGCATCCAAAGTTCTTTGTGAATCAGCAAAGTTCTAAGAACATCCTCAAATTTAAGTATTTATTGATCCTACCAGGGATCATTTCCATCCCAGGGACCCCACAGCTGACAGCCAGAGATATCCAGTACAGGCTCCAAGTTTCCAAAGCCAAGGGCATCATCACAAATGATTTGTTGGCCCCTGTGGTGGAGACCATCTCATCATCATGTCCCTTTCTGCAAACCAAGCTGTTGATCTCTGAAGGCAGGCGAGAGGGATGGCAAAACTTCAAGGAGCTATTTGGGTAAGTAGCAAAGATTTGATGAGTAGCCCGCAGCACATTGCACAGGACAGATAGGGTATATGTTGGGGAGGGCAGGCACTCGGTAACCATTACCTTTTAGAAGGTAGCAACTCATCAGTCACTCTTGGCTAAATGACCATCCAGAGGGCAGATGCAATGAAGCTCCCCATCCAGAGGGACAGACAAATTGAAATTGGTAGCCATTTTAATTCCTGAGCCATTTGAATGTTAATGTCCTCCAATAATCAAAGTTTCAAGAAAATAATGTAAGATTTGGGGTTTAATGGTCTCATAGTTAGTAAGAGGTGCATAACTTGAGTTCCTCTATGTGCCAGATTACCTTGATGTAACCAAAGCAGATGGGAACTTTGGAATTCTGTGATTTCTTTTTTCTAAACCACCCATTTTTATACAATGTTTTCAATAGCATGAAAAATTGATCTTCTGGGCATTTCGATTTTTACTGTTGCCACCCAGAACCTGAAAAGATTACCCATCTCTGTCTTACTGAGGATCTTCCCCCATACTTCATGAAGTCTAGTTATGGGATGGTAGAAGGTTTGCTTTTTTCCGCCAAACCAGACAGATTATTTTAGTTACAACAAATGTTCTTGAGAGAAGACAAAGTATGGAGTAATACGTATTCCTTTACATGCATGAAATTATTATTAGAATGCTAAGTGAGTCTGAAGGCCCTTGTGTGGGTTTGGCTGAAGGCCACCTTGGAAGTTTTGCCCCAGGTTTCTACCCTGATGGAGCCAGTGTGGTGTAGTTGTTAAGTGTGAAATTGGGACCAAGGAGAGGCAGGTTCAAATCCCCACTTTACTCCTTGGATCTGGATCAGTCTTTCTCACCCAACGTACTTCCCAGGGTTGCTGTTAGGGGGGTAACATGAAGATTTTTGTTTTTTATGCCTTCAAGTCAGTCTTGACTCCTGGCAACTGCCTGGACAAGTCCCTGTAGTTTTCTTGGCAAGATTTCAGAAGTGGTTTGCCATTGCCTCCTTCTTCCTAGGGCTGAGAGGGAGTGACTAGCCCAAGGTCACCCAGCTGGCTTTGTGCCCAGGGTGGGACTAGAATTCATGGTCTCCCGGTTTCTAGCCTGACGCCTTAATTACGACACCAAACTGTCTCTCTAAGATGAAGACAGATCCCCTTAAACTCTTTGGGACAGGATGGGATAGAATTCTAACAAAACAAAGGCCAAAACAGTGCTCTGGAGTACTATGATTGATTGATTACGTGCCATCAAGTCATTGTTGACTCTTAGCAACCATACAGATAGATTTTCTCCAGGACAATCTCTCCCTAACCTGGTCCTTCAGCATTTCCAACGGTGCACCCATCACCACTGTAACTGAGTCTACCCACCCTGTTGCTGGTTGTCCTCTTCTTCTCTTTCCTTCCATCTTTCCCACCATCAGAACCTTCTCCAGAAAGGTAGGTCTTTGTATAATGTGTCTGAAGGAGGATAATTTGAGCCTGGGAGTACTATGAGAAATAGGGAAATGGACCTAGCAAGGGTATATATGCTCACAGGCCTGAGAAGGGACAGGTGAGAACTCTGAAGTGGAGTCTATATTCCAGCAATCTGAGAATGTAACTGACTGTTCAAACCAGTTCTGAAGGATATGTGATGTGTAGCTGTTTCCATCCCTGGAGCTCAGCTTCTCCATGCAACAGCGAGTGATAGAAATGTAAATTATGAATGAAATGTTAAAGACAGCAATTTTGTAAAGCAATCATTCCGAAATCTATTTCCAAGGGAGAAAAAAACAAGCTACAAAAGACGCTTTCAATGGGGCTGCTTTTTAAATATTGTTAAAATAAAATAAGCAGGCACTTAGAACAAACAACACAGATCCTTTGTATTGCCGAGTGCCATTTTCCACAATCATTATGTGCCCGAGAGGTATTTAAGTCTGCAAATCTAACGCCTAACTGGGAGTAATTCCCAACACATTTAGTGAGATTTTCTTTCAAGTCAGCATACATTAGACTTGGCTGCAAAATTGTGGCCTGTGATTACTTATGCCAGACTGGCAGTATTACAGTGAACCATGAGATGGCCAACAATGAAGATAAAAAGGCTCTTCAGGAGTGGTGTGATCAGTTAGTCAGTTAATCTGTTTAATCCGTTTTCACTCTTGAAAGTGAGAAGGGTGAACCTTTCTGTTCACTGCTGCTCCCCTTCCTTGTATTTATTTCAGGGCAGCTTCTTCCAGCCACAACTGTGTTCAAACCCAGAGTGATGAACCAATGACTATATTCTTCACAAGTGGAACCACAGGTTCTCCAAAGATGGTTGAGCACTCTCAAACCAGCTTAGCCCTGGGCCTGGCATTATCGGGAAGGTATTCTTCTTCATATCCTTGCATGTGTCAGACTTGATCACAGCCAACCAGATCACTGTCTAGTCAACCTCTTGGGGTTTCACACAACGCCTTTGGAGAAGTGATAGCCCCAGGTGACAATTGCAAGTAAAGAACTGGGGACAGGATGAACCCTATAGAAAATTTAGGGCCACATAAAATTATGTGAGATCTTTTTTGTTTGAAGAGAATCCAGAGTCCCACCCAGAATGTCTGTGCCTCACAGGTACTGGTTGGACCTGAAACCTTCAGATGTCATATGGAACATGTCTGATACTGGCTGGGTGAAGGCGTCTCTGGGGAGTGTCTTTGCTCCTTGGCTTCGAGGCACCAGTGTCTTCATACACAGCATGCCACAGTTTGATCCAAAGGAGGTTCTAAATGTAAGAACTATACATCCCATCTTTGGGGGAATATATTTTGACCTTTGACACCTTCTGCAACCAACTCCCTCCTTGGTCCATCTCTCTGCTCATTTAGAAATGAACATGCCATTGTATTTTTATGAAACCCAAAGTGAACAGCAGTATCCAGAGATTTTTTTTAATGGGTCAGACTAGGCATGACATCTAGGATGCTCCTGGCTCTGAATGAACTCAAATCTTGACCATTATCCCTGCTGTTCATTTCTCATTCCTTCCTGAGCTCCAGTTTGCATGATTGCCCACAGACCTTCACTTTCCAACTCCCATTATCTTTGGCCTTTAGCCAAACTTTAGACTTTGTACTGCTGGGAGTTGTAGGTCAGCATCATCCAGAGAGTGATAGCTTCCCCAACCTTTAACTCAGAAGGGCAGCTTTAAAGAAAGTGGAAGATGTTGCTCCATCATTTCATATCTGTTTCTTCCCCTTCCTTTTTTCTCTCTCTAGACACTTTCCAGGTACCCAGTGACTACACTGTGTAGTGCCCCAACAGCCTACCGCATGCTGGTGCAGCAGGATCTTACCAGGTACCTGGTTATCAATTAACCCGTCTGCATAAACGATTGACTGGTCAGTTGTGAGACCAAAAGAGTCTGTGTAACTAAAACCTTCAAGGAGTTTGCTACCTACTGGGTGTTATCAACACAGGGCAGAATGCTCAGCTTGCTCTCTTCTAGGTGCAGTGGACTTTCTCTGCAAGGCTGTAGTCCTGCAACTCTATACATCATTGCTTTCAGGATCTCTTGAACCCTGACTTTGTCCCTCTTCAGGAAAACATGAATTGCCATTTGTACAATGCCATTTTCCCACTGCATTTTTTATTTTGTGTTCCTTCCTTAACTGAGGAAGATGAATAATCTGAGGATAATCCAGTCTGAAAACAACCCCAGAACTAATTTAAAATAGCCATGAAATCTATACAGGCCCTGACGGACAGACACAGAGCTGCCAACCAGCTAAAATTTGCAGGATAGGCTCTTGGCGCACACAGCTTTGTCTAGCAACACCACCCACTGCTGTCCCCTCTCAGAATTTGCAGGCAGCCACTGCGCCCTGCTTAATGACAGAGGCTCTGAATGACTGTAGAAACCAAACCTGTTTCTTCTTTTTCTCTGCATAAAGCTACACATTCAAGAAACTGTCCCACTGCTTGACTGGAGGGGAGCCGTTGAACCCAGAAGTGATGTCCCATTGGAAAAAACAGACGGGATTGCAAATCTACGAAGGCTACGGGCAAACTGAAGTCGTACGTGCATGTTCATAAAAGCACCTTTCCCTTAACCAGGAGAGTTAAGGATCCAGTGGCTGAAGGTGGCTAAATTTAGGGTTGAGATTTTACAGACGTTATTTTTAATGGCTGAGTGTGAACGCAGTCCATTTTATTAGTTCATTTATGGTATTGTCTGAACCAAGAAACTAGGTTAATTTATTAAGCAGGGAAAGTCTGTTGTGCGACCCCAGCTATAGGGTAGAGGTGCCAGCTGGGGGCCATGGGGCTGTATGATAAAAAATACAGTTTGGAAGCACGCTCAAGGTATCAAAAAAGAGAATAGTGCTTTCTATCATAGAATGGTAATTCAATGACTGGGGAATTCCCACTGAAGGTATAGATATTTTATAGATCATTAAACCAAACATTTAAAAAGAAGTGCAATTCCAGGAAACTCTCATGAGTATTCAAAATTGTTTGTTGCAGGGAATAATAACGATAAACGAGAAAGGGAAGTCAATTAAACCAGGCTCCATGGGGACAGCAGCTCCACCTTACGATGTTCAGGTAGGACCATTCACCTACCCGGTGGGTCAGGTGAGATCAAGAACAGAAGGCCTGTTTGGTAGGAAAAGAAAACCCTTGTATTTATGGGGGGGGGGTGGCTTTTCTTCTTAGCCTCACCACCAACTTTAACGGATACCAAACAAAAAATGGTAAGTAGGATCAGACCTGGATAGGACTTGGGTGGGAGACCACCAGGAGATCACAGGATTGAAAGCCAATCTGGGATAGACAA